AGAAAGTACAGATACTTGTGTGAAAATGAAATGAGTAGAAGTCAGAAGTAGGAAGAAAAATAAGTATTTGTACTTCGTTACTTGACACCTCTGCATATTTTGTTAACTCTGACTCCATCCTTTCACTGAATTACAGGGTCTGACCAGGAGATGATCTTAATGCTCACAAATCATGACAGAAAGTGTATTTTAGAAAAAAAATCTTGATGTTTCAAAAGGAATTGTAGGGGATCCAGCCCATCAGGGAAAGTAGGGACATTTTGAATGGCTGCTACTGTATGTTCATTAGCTCTGATGTTCATTAGCTCTGATGTTCATTGAAGCAGTAAAGACTTGGGGCTGCTTATGGAGCCACAGCTGATATCAAAGGATTCTTCATGAACTTTGACCCGATTTCCAACATTTTATTTATATCTGCAGTTTTACGTATTTATTAAGGGACGATTCATAAATTCCACCGGGACCAAAATGCTTGATTGTTCCCTGCTTCTGATTAACATTGCTTAATAAAGTATGTTCGTTGCAGTCCTGAGTTTCTGCTTAATTTCCCCCAAACAGCTGCTTCCTCACCCGTCATCTGTCCTGTCCACCTGCAGCTCCTCCAGATAGATGGACTGGAGCACCTCGATCTCAGACTGAACCCTGCGGACACAAACAAACAAACTTTTACTCTGTTTACCATTTTATAACTGCTACAGCTAGCGGGTTAGCTTCTCGTTAGCTAGAAGCTGCGACGTTTTTTCTAGGTTTTCCTCTAAAAACAGCGGCCAGTCGGGAGCTGGAAGAAGGGAAGCAGTGCCTAAATATGTCGCTTCCAATGTGAGAAAGAAATCCATAAAATCTGAAGGTGAACTCACTCTGACTCCGCTGCCATCGTGATGTTTCTGAAGCTAGCTGGAGTTAACCGGATGTGGCCGGAGACTTTCAAAATTAAAGCCCGAATAACAAGGAAAATATGTGTTAAGATTACGTAATGATTTTACATAAAGAACAATAAACAATGCATTGTTTTTTTTAGGAGTACCTTCCCGCAAAAACTGTACCAAATGGAGCCTTAATGAACCTCCACTGCAGTCAAACAGTCTGTTATTGTTAATTGGAAAACAAATACGTCAGCCGGGCAGCCATATTACGAGTGTCATAATGCACAATAAAAGGATACTACTTACTGTGTCAAAATGTATCTCTTTTATGGTCACAGTATTTCGTTTGGAGGCTAATAACAGTTCAAAATAAATAAAATGGAACATCAAGCATGAAGATAGTGTTGATAAAAACTGTAAATTAAATAATTATTTATTAAAAATCATGACATAATTGATACCTTTGTGTGATTTAGTGTATAAATATATCTACCTAAACCCCCTTTAGTTCAGTTTAAGATAACTCCAAACTAATGTTGGATTTTAATCATCTTAAATAAACAATGCGTTGTTTTTTAGGAGTACCTTCCTGCAAAAACTGTATCAGATGGAGCTTTAATGAACCTCCAGTTCCAGCACCTGCAGTCTACAGTCTTTTATTGTTAATTTGAAAATAAATACGTCAGACGGGCAGCCATATTACGAGTGTCGCAATAAATGCACAATAAAAGGATTAAGGATGTTGAAATATATCACTTATATGGTCACAGTATTTCGTTTGGAGGTTAATAACAGTTCAAAATAAAGGAAATTGAACATCAATCATGATGATAGTGATGATACAAATTGTAAATTAAATAATTATTAAAAATCATGATACCTTTTTGTGATTTAGTGTGATTTAGTGTATAAATATCTATACCTTAACCCCCTTTAGTTCAGTTTAAGTTAACTACAAACTGATGTTGGAATTTAATTATCTTAAGAGAGATGACTAATGGGTCTAATTCATCTGCTCTTCAGTAGAAACGATTTTAGTGTCAATATAAATTAGATCATTGAATAATTTAGTCTATTCATATCGATGAATTGAAATCCAACAACATTCAATTTAATCCTAAATGTAAAAGACTGCAATCAAATTCATCCTGATGTCTGTTGATCATTAAAAATCTGTCTATGGAAGCCCAGATGTTTATTGTGTCACTTACTTTCATAAATAACTCATCTTTCCTTTTAGGAAGCATGTGGTGACAGTGGGAAGGATTTCTAGCAGACAACAGGGTTTTAAGAGAAACGGGGGTGCAGGTGTAGCCTGACGTAGTCC